AGAGAACAATTTTTTCTATCAAAAACGTAAATTAACAATCGAGCAAAGTTGAGAAACAGCTCCAGAATACCGTGCTCAACATTTCCATCGAGAATGCATCTCATTGGTCCATTGCTGAACAATTATACTTTACCATGCGTGGATGCCCCTGGGTGTTTTCTTTCTAATGGTGAAACTCGCAGGTCGCTAGCTACATCCGTTCAGGAGATATTTCTCCTTGAGTTTTCTCCATCTACTTCTGGCGCCGACATTAGTATCAGTGGTTGATGACGGGTATGATTGAAGAAATACTTATACCCACAACCTCAACACTTGAATATATTCATTCGTTACATAATTTGCTTGTTATAAAAACTTGTGAATGTCTGAAAAAATAAATTAAGTTGTAAATTAATAAAAAACTTCAATTAATTTCAAGATATATATTAAATTAAGTTTGTTGAAAATCTTTTGATTAAAAGATTTTATTTTTTGTTTCGAGAGTTTTAAAATTGTTTGAAGATTATAATGACAGTTTTCAGTTTCTTTCTGATAAAATTTGATATTCGTTCTGAATTTTTTATGATTAAAATTTTATTATAAAAATATGTTATTATGTGATCAATATGTGGAAAAATCAAAAAATAATAATTTTTATTTCATTATTCAAATACAAAAATAAAATTTATCTGTTAAATAATCAAATATTAATACTCAATAAAATCTGTTGTAATTATTAATAAATCGTTATCATTTTTGACTGACTATACGTTTTAGTTGTTGCATTATTGTAGAAGAATTAGCATTGATTGGTACTTTAACAAAATGTTCTCGTTTTTCATTCACCACCCATTGTTTCGCTTTCAATTCTTCAACTTGTTGTCGAATACTTGAACCATTTATAGGTAATTTATAGAGCTTACTTACTAAACCGAATATATCTTCAACTCCACGTTCATTATGTATAAAGTTTGAAGCGGTAGATGTTGTTGTTCTAGTAAAATTTGCATCAAATAATTTTTGTTCAAGTTCATATTCTTTAATCATATTTTTAAGACCTTGAATAACATCTTCATTATTAGAACCAGCACTTTTTTTCATTTCTTCTTCACGAACAAAATATCGTATATATTCAAGAATATCATCATTGTAAGGTGTAATGGAATTTTGTTTTAAAAATTGTGAAAGTTTATTACACACTTTAAGAATAGATTGTTCTTCTTGTCGTAAATCATTAATACGTTTATCAATATTTATTAATACTGACTGTAAATTGGAATTATCGATTTCAACATAGGTTATATATGTTTCATATTCATATGATATATGCATATGATTTACCCAATGACATTCACATACTTGACATAACTCTAAGAAAATTAATAATAATTCAATACAAAAACTGTAAAAATAAATTAATGGTTGAATAATACATACAGGGTAATCCTTCATTAGGTAATAAAAAATGCAATATTTCGAATTTGTTTTAATCAGTTAGACTGATTTTTTATTCAGTGATAGAGGGATGGTTAATTTTTTTTATTCATAAGGAAACTATTAAATAGATACTATTTAGATCTAACACTATTGATCGAAAGTGTCTTACCACGCAATCTCAAAGTTAGATCTATGAAATCCTTACCGTTTATACTAACTTGAAAATGTAAGTCGGAGAGATCACTAGAGTTTTGATAGCTTCAGTTGAACAGTTATGATCAACTGTTAGCCCTTCTAATTATAAATCGATGAGCTTACCATTATGTAGTTCTTCAATGTGGCGCTATTTATGCTTAAATTTGCATTGAAGTATTCAAAACACTGTAAATATTTTACATAGTGATAGGTTGACCAGACCGTGAGCTGCTTCTCTTCTTCAATTACGGATATGATAGTCAGAACAACCGTCTTTGCATCAGAGTACTTGTTGAAGTGAAATGATCAGGACCAGATTAGTCTCGTTAGCCTACATTTCTGTGATATTACATGTGGTAAACGTTTCAAATATGTAACTCTAAGATTGTATGATGAAGTACGTTTGACCAATAATGTATTTCTTTATTGAGATCAATAGTACTACTATCGGCGCCAGAATTCAAGACAGTCGGATGTTTTTTGAATAACTTTTGATAGGAACAAAATAGTGACGTGCGGTTTTCAGCATTTGATACGAAAGACCCAGGAGCAGATTTTCATAAGCAAAATCTTTGCTGAGAAAAAAATCTGAAGATCGGTTTTTCAGCGGATCTTTGGAAAACCACGCTGGGTTCCTGAAAACTGCCATAGGAGTATATTGATTTTTTTACATATTCGGAATCAGCATCCAAAACTGAGCCGATTCATGAATGTTTCGAATCTTTTCACGACCT